CACACACACACACACACACACATATATATATATATATATATATATATATATATATATATATATATATATATATATATATATAGCTCTGCTCGGTCTCACGTTGACTGCTGACCTGAGATGGAACAAATACACTGAGTCAATTGCTTCGTTCACCGCGAGGAAAGTTGGCTCTCTGTGCCGCGCCAGGAAATTTTTCTCCCCAGAATCGATCCTTCAAATCTACAAATCAACCATTCGCCCTTGCATGGAGTATTGCTGCCATATATGGTCTGGGGCACCTTCTGTTTTACCTCAGGTTCTTGACAAGATCCAGAGACGGATATGTAATATAATTGGCCCTGATCTGGCATCTCGTCTACAGTCGCTCTCTCACAGACGCGCCGTCGCTTCTCTCTGTTTTTTTTTTACAAATACTTTCAAGGTAATTGCCCCGATGAACTGCTTTCACTGCTTTTCCGTCTCCATGAATTCAAGCGCCCTACGAGGCTGGCATCCCGCTCTCACCCTTTCACTGTCTCTTCTACTCCAATAGCTTCATAGCTCACACCTCTCGCCTGTGGAACACCCTTCCCAATTACTGTTTCCCTGAGAGCTATAATCTCCAACTATTCAAATGTAATGTCAATCGGCATCTCCAGTTACCTTGATCTATCCACTATCCTTCTCCTTATCCTTTCTTCTATCGCTTCGATCTGCTCTCGCTCCAAATCTTCTGCAACCCCCTGCATCCTAGTGGCTTCACGCCTTGCTCGGGGCGTAATGCTTAAATATATATATATATATATATATATATCCGATCACTAAAATTTTAACCTCTTCATAATAATAATGAAAATGATGATAATAGTAGTAGTAGTCGTAGTAATAATAATAATAATAATAATGAGGATAATAACTGATGATATTCATAAGGATAACAATAATAGGAATATTAATAATAATAGTAATAATAATAGTAATAATATACAGAGGCACGGACTGAGGAATCGGAGAGCCGAGTTCGAATTCCAATCGAATCCATTACATTCACTTACGTGCTAATACCCTTGAGAAAGGTGTGAATCCTCTTCTTCTTCCTCCAGCTATGGGTAAATAGCAGGACAGACTGGGTTCTATAGCCTTGGATGGCAAATGGTCTAGCAGAAGGACAACTCTGAATTTAAAACCTGCGGAGGGTCGTTTGGGGACCTTGTGGCACTTAGTGCACCAGGTCTCTGTATTCGGCCCTTCAAAAAGTGTGGATGCTCCTGCACGAAACCTTCACCACTATAATCAAATCTCATGTGCTATACATGCGGGTGGGGATCGCTTGTGAATTCCAAATTCCCATGAAACTCCAATATTGGAGCCGGCTCAACCCACCCTGGGTGAATGCCGTTACAAGAACAAGAGAGAATAATAATAATAATAATAGTAATAGTAATAATGATGATAATAATACAAACTGATGATATTAATAATAATAATAGTAATAAATAGCAATAATGATAATATATATATACATGTATTAAGAAATGGACAAGGTCCGACAATTTATTTATTAAAGACATTTTTATGTTTAACGTTGTTATTTATAGATACAAGTATTTAAGCAAATGCTCTGTTTATGATAAACAGTATTAAATAACATTTACCGGCCTGAATGTCCGAGAAATTTTCATAGAAAATATTCGTTCTTTGACAGGATTTGACAGGTATAGGATGCAGGTTCGAATATACTCGGTTATACTTTTTTATTTAATTTTTCTTGTGTTCGAACAAGTGTTTTCTTTTCTGGACAAAGAGTGTGTTCTATAATTCCGAGCGCTTTCGGATATAATTTTAGCCATCATCAAGGATGATTTTATTTATTCACTTTAACTGAGTGTGTGCGTTGCGTGTATGTTTTTAGTGTTATAGAGATATTTTATTTTCCGAACACAGCGAGCACATTTTGGCCGTGTTCGTAGTTAATATTATTAAGTGTTAGCTTCTTTTTTTATTATTAAGGCTTCCATTACTTTTAATCCTTTTTTTTTTACTTGTGGATGAGGTTATTATGTTTGTATTTTCTACTACCATGTTTCGGATGGAGTCTGGTAAGTTTGTGGGTGTGTCTTTAAATGGGTTCTAATAGATCTGCCTTCAGATCGACGTAACGTAAGGCGTCTGGAGAGGCATGTAGTCGTGTGACCGATGTAATTAGTTATGAATTCGGTTTGATCAGGAACAGGGACATTTAAACTCATAGATAATGTTCGTTCGTTGTAAATTTGACGTTACTGGTGTGTTAATTTTGAGGATAAGGTTAGCTGTTTTAAATTTTTTTGCAGTAGATAATTAATTTGGCTTTTTAATCGGGTCAGTTGGTGTAGCGTAATTTCCTTATAAAAACAGAAAACACTTGTTCGAACACAAGAAAAATTAAATAAAAAGCTTAATCATAGTACCTTGCCTGCCGTTTTAATGAAACATATATATATATATATATATATATATATATATATATATATATATATAT